CCCATCGTCCCCCGCCTCCTCACTCCATCACCTCCCTCCACCATCGCCTTCGTCCACTATCGGCTCCTACCACCACCATCACTTCCCTCCATCGCAGCTTCCTCTTCCCGACCCATTGTGTCTCGCCCAACTCCCACCTCCTCCCTCCAACATCGCCTTCCAAGTTCCACCATCCCCCCCCCCCCCCGCCCCTAACCCCCAGGCCCCTCTTCCCCCCCCCTGCCCCAACCCCCCAAAACCTGAGAGCAGCAAAAAACAAAAGAACCCCGGAATCTGGCACATCTCAACAAGTGCAGAACCACAGTCTGCACAAAAAAATAAAATAAAAAATAAAAATTTCAAATCATCATTAAAAAATGTGATTTTATCTATGACCGGGTGACCTGGTCACCAGGCCTGCCCGGGCGTCATGCCCTGGTGACCGGCTGGTCTCCTGGTTCTATTTTTTTCTCGTATTTTAATAAGAGTTTGGGGTTGATGCTCATACAAATAATGCTTGTCTGCCTATGTTACATAACATGTTTCTTTTTCAGATTTTTTTCATTGTGTTCTCCCCCCCCCCCTTCTGCGTACGTTTTACGTACAGAACGTACATGGCCACGTATGGGGTTACATACGTAAAATATGCATACGCTATGTATGGAAAGGCCCTGTATGTGTACGCGCGACAACATAGCCTGGCGACCCAGCCAACCAAGCCCCCACTTACCAACCCTGTCCTTGGCCTGAGCAGTGAGATCAAAGCTAGGCTACCAGATCGCCCAGGTGGGCCAGCAGGCCAGGAATGGCATACTCAGCAGGCTTGTGCTTGAACTGAGCTGTCGTAGTCTGCCCTGATCTTCCCATTTTGTGTTGGGTCAGGGGAGAAGGGGATGGTTGGGAGGCATGAGTGAGCGTCCGGAAGGTTTAGACTCTAGAGTCTTTAGACTCTTTAGAGGGGTGAACCTCAACTTTGTTTCCTATTTTATTTTTATCTTGAAATTGATTATTAATTTGAGGTTACCCTCATCTGCAATCAGACTTGCTTTCATTCACACTTTACATGTATGCAAACAGGCGCACAGCAAACTGGCGACAAGCGCCCACACAGAACTCAGAGATATGGTCGCCGAAAACACAGTCCAGATACAAGTTCACTTTTGATGGCTATGGCGACTCAGCGCCCAAACAACTCTCTGTTCGCATACCCCGGATCACCCTGGATATCCCACACGCGTCTCTCTGAACACTCACACACACACACACTGAACACTCACTACAGGTATGGCGGCTATGGCCGCAACTACCCTATCGCTATGCTATGCTCCTTCTCTCTCGCCCACTTCAGCTTCGGGCGTCACTGCAGACCTCCTTGCACAAGTCGCTGTGGCAGCGCTTCCGCAT